AGATAAAATAATTACAAGATATTTTGTACTCTATTCTTGCACTGTCTTTGAGACCTAGTGTGTTTCCCACGCATTCCACTCCTCCGTTAGACCAGCACAGCTCAGGGTCCAACAGCCTCAAGGTCTTGCTGTTCTGACCCCGGGAATGGGCTTTGCGTGGGCCGCGTCAGAGCTTTCCTTCTTTGAGCCCACGTTTCCCGTGCATGTGCGCAGGCACACCGTGCAGTGCGTGGCCGTCGTTTCGGTGCAGCTGAGGGAGCTCGTGCCAAGGTGCCTGCAGTTTACGCAGCAGCACGAATGTCAGGCAGGCGCTTCGGTCTTGGTCCCACCACACAGCTTTCCTCAAGGGCTGTGGTGAACCGGGCTCCGTGGATTGTGCTCCGGGAACCAATGGGCTAGAACTGAGTAGGATCAAATCCTGGTGTCTTTGGTTTGGCATTTTGCCCCCTCCTTGATAGAGACAGTCTGGAACCAGGGCGTTATTTCAAGAATAACGTTCCCAGCAATTCCTTCTGGACCGTTGGAAGCCTGAGCTATGGCCGTAACCCTGCAGGGAGGAAAATGAATGGGGCTCCTTTCAGAGAGCAGATTTCAAGTCAGTTTTGTTTTATGGCGGATCTGCCCATCCCCTTCGAGGAAAGGCCGCAGAGCCAGCTGAGCAGCTCAGCAAAGTTAGGAATCTGGGGCTCCACATCAAAGCAGCCAGCAGGACAGATGTCCACCTGTACCACGGCCAGTGCCATAGGCGAGGGCCACAGAGAGAAGGGGGCTGTCGGCCGGCAGGGGCCAGGCAGATGGGGCCTGGGTACTGCAGCCAGCCCAGCCCCGAGCCCAGCCGGCCTTTCTTCCCTCTGCACCTCGTCCCTGCTGGGAGTCAGCAGGGTGCAGGGAGAGCTCAGGGTGCCCATCCCACCCCTGGGTGAGCGGCCAGGGAGAAGTGTCCCTGCTGGCTGCTCCCAACCTTGCTCTCCTCAAAGTTTCTGGGAAGATATCCAGAGGATTCGTCACTGCACGTTCTTAGGTGACCGGGCCGGGCTGTTGTGTCACACCCGCAGACCTGGGAGGTAACTGCACATTTTCCTCCGGGTGTGTCGGCCGTGTAGGTAGCGCTGCCCAGTCCACCCTGGGCGGCTCTGCCTGCTCCGGGAGCAGCCTGCCTTCCCACCCAGTCACCCGCACTCAGCTGTTACACTCCATCTGATGTTTTATTTCCCTCGCCTCTCGCTATCTCAATGGGCAATCGCTCCCAGGACATTTTGTAACAAATAACATTTTCTGTTCTCCAGAGCACAGACCCTTGGGCTGCAGCCTGGCTGTCTGACAGCCCCCTGTAGCTCCCCCCGCCCGAGCCACACTCTTTTTGTTTGTTAAGAATGTTCTCATTTCCTTCCGAGGCCTTCCTGTGGGCAGTGCTGAGGCTCAGCCACACTGACCCAGCGAGACCCGTCTTCTGGTTCGCACCCCCCATCTTTAGGCCACCTTTCCTACCATAGGAATCGGCCTGTGCCGTGAGGGCTGAGGGTGCAGGTGCCGTGCGGACATCTCGGAGCCCTTGAGGGCCCCAGAGGCTTAGCTGTGAGACCCTCTGCTCTCCCTTGTCTCCCCAAGGGGAGAAGCTCCCCATCTGGCCAGCTCCCCTCTCAGCTGGACCAGCTGGACCTCGACCTGTCCTCACCCTAGTGGATTCCGCCTGCCTTCCCCCTGCAGCCATGGACTTATTCAGACAAATCAATTGCATCCTCTGAGGGCACCAGGGGACACCCTACTGCCCCTGGAGCACCCCCAGCCCTGGTCCATTCTGGGGACCCTGCGTGGTGTGTGGTGCCCTCCTCTCCTGGCGGGAGTGTGTGTGCCTCACTATGCTTGTATTCAGTTCTCAGAAGACAGGGCAGCAGTCTGCTCCGGGCAAGCACCTTTAGACTCCCTAGACAGGTGGGTAGCCATTCACACCCCCAGTGTGCCTTTGCCTTGGACAGCACGGTGCTTTTCTCCTCAGCACTGCTCCCCCCTTCCTGCCTGGGCCCCTTGTCAGGCACTGTTCCAAGGTGTCAGTGTCTTCTCCTCCTGGGGCCATCGGGGTGCTTCCTCCGGTGTTGGAGTATGGGGCCTGCACCAGCGTGGCCCGTTCTGAGGTGCACTCTGGGAAGTACCCAGAGTTCCCCAGCAGAATGGGCTCTGGTGCTGTCCCAAGTTCCTGCTCATTCACCCTCGCTTCCCCTCCCACAGCGCTTCCCAGGTCGCTGCTGGAGCAGGCAAGTTGCACTCAAACCCTTGCCTTGGCTGCTGCTCAGTTTCGCACGCGGGATCACACCTGGGAGGCCGCAGTTTGCTCCCCTTAGGTGAAGTGCCCACGGGATGCAGGAAATCGCAACATGAGCTCGTTAGGGCGAGTCGGAGATAGCTTTTCCTGGGACAGACCCCCAGGCTCCGGCTAACCTGCTTGCTGCCGGAAGCAACACTGGACTGGGCTGGCTGCCAGGCTCTCCCTGTGAGAGGGAGAGGTGGGTGAGCCAGGCTCTCTGGGGTACACGCTCGCGCCTGTCTGCTGGGGCTGAGAGCCCCGCGCCTGACCTCACTAAGTGTCATCAGACTTCACGCTACAGTGCTGCAAGACTTTATTCTTCCAGCAGCAGTGTGTGAGAGTTGACTTTGGGTTGCAGGCTGGGTTCTCACAAACAGACGCTAAAACAGTATCGGATCTCCAAAAAGGTGATTCTGAAGGATCAGCACCAGGGAGGAAGAGGGAAGGAGTCGAACTGCCACAGGCCTCTGGCGAGCGAGGAGCTCTGTCAAGTGCTGCGGGTCACAGCAGCCTCCGTGGGGCCGAAGTGGCCAGGCCTTCAAGTCCTGCCCTCCCCTGCGGCCTGGGCTGACCCCGAGCCTGCCTGCCTGCTTATGACACTGCCGACGCCCCCTGTGGAAGTGGTGAGCAGCTCTCCCGCCAGCCTGCCCAGGACAGTGGTATCTCATCGGTACTCTGGCTTGCGTGTCTTCCGTCACTGGCGAGCATGCACATCTCTGGGTGTGCTCATTAGTGAAGCTGGTGTTCGGCCAGTAGCGACTTCCTGTTGGAAGAGCCTCTCCCTGAGCTCCCACTGTCTCCTGGACAGCCCAGCCCAGCTCCTCCACGGGGACCTCCACAGCTCCCGTAACTCAGCCTCAGCGCCTGGCACTGCAGGGAGCCTGTTACCGCCCTGTGATCAGCCGGAGCTAGCTGGCCCTGTCTGCTCTTCACTTCTCAGAGCCTCACCCCGCAGCAGCCATCTGCCGTACCTCCCTGTGAACGGCTGCTTCGGAACATTCCCCCAGATCTCTGCGAGCTTTCTAAACCTCATTCTCAGTTCCCTGGGCAAGTGCTGTTCCAGATTCCAGGACTTGGTTGGTGGTGGGTGGAGTGCGGTGAGGTCAGGGAGGGGACGAACCTCCTTAGGCCCCCCGCCCCAGCAGACGTGAGCACGCCCTGCTCAGCGCCCAGTCAGACTCAGGGCATCTGAGAGAGTGGGCCGAGCTGGCGGGAGTGGGGCTCCGCTGGGTGAGTGGTCAGTGCTATCCTTTCTTCGGCCTGGCCTACTGCTCTCCTCCTCGGAGTTGGCGCAGGAGGTGGGAGGGGCCTGCCCTGCTTCCACGCCGGCAGACTGCAGCTCGGCTCCTGGGCAGACTGCAGCTCCGCTCCCGGCTCCCTTCTCTCACGGGAGCATCTCCCTGCTCTGCCTGTCTTCTGTGTTTGTCACCCTGAGTCCTGCTGGGCGGCCTTTATTCTAAAACAAATCCACATGCATCCCCTGAAGGTCCTCATTGCCTGCAGCCTAAACCCCGTCACCCAGCACCCCCCGGGGTGGAGCCGAGGGTGCACCCCCATCTCTCACGTGTCCCCAACCGCCATCTCTGCCCGACTCTCATCCCTCCCTCCCCCCTCACCGCCCCTAGTCTTTCCTCCACCCCCTGGTGTCTCCAGGGCTTCTACAGCCTCGGCCTTTGCTCCCGGGGTTGCTTTTGCCTGGATGGCTCTGCAACCCTCCTCTCCTGGAGGTGGCTGTGGGTCCTGCCACTTCCTCTTTGAGGTTTGTTTCCCTGACTTCTGTTGGACAAAATGAGTGGTTTCCTTGGCAGAGCTTTCCCAACAGGTGAGTCCTGGGGTGAAGTGAAGAGGGTTTCCAAGGGCGGGAAAGAGAGCCCAGTCCTGCAGGTGAGGGAGCATCGGGTGGGGAGGACGTGGAAGGTTTGTTCCAGCAGGGAGTCGTTCAGGAGGGTGGGATGGTAAGGCATGCATGCTGAGGACCTCATGGGGTGGCCAGAAATGGGAGCACAGAAGTAAGCAGGAGCCTTGTGGCCAAAGTGAGATTTACCTTCTGGCACAGGGAAGCCTCTGAGTGGCTTCAGCAAGCAGAAACCTGCCAGGTCCCAGCCTCCCCACGGGGAGCTGCTGTCCCCAGCAGACTACAGTGCTGGAGCCTTTTCCAAAATCCTCTGTCATGGTGAGCTCCCACCGATCCTGGCCAGGGCAACGGCTTCCCCAGCTCCTGGGACCTGGCTGCTTTGTTAATAGTTTTCTTCCAAGGGGCCTGGGACTTCTGGCTCAAGATCAGCTGGAAATAGGTGAGCCCTGCGTGTGCTCCTGCGACCTTGCCCTTTGCTGAGAGGAGTCATCTCTAAGGGCAAGAGGTGGGTGCGGGGAGCCTCTGGAGAGGGAGAGGCCAACTGTGAGGTAGAGACTCAAATCCCTGTCATGTTTCTGCAGAATGCACTTTTTGCTTTAAATGACTTTCAGAGCTCTGGCTCTAGCAAGAAGATGACGTGCCAGCAGGATGGGAGACATGGGCAGTGGCCTTGTCTGAGCCCAGAGAGCCCCCAGGGGAGAGCTGGTGCCAGGGGCCACACGGAAGCCTGTGTTTTCATTACTAAGCAAGTTCTGCAGCGGTGGGTTTGGGGAGAAAAAGACAGTGTGGTAAGAAGTCTGGAATAATGGGTGCCATGTGGAGGGAAGGCAATGATACCAGCAGAGGAATAGAAAACATGGTTTATATTTTCAACATTTGGAGAAAGAAATGAAAACTGAATATTTGCTGCACCTGTGAAAACATATTTGATCATGATGGCAAGTCCAGCATTCTTAGTGCAGGATTCATATTTCATAACTTGTGTTCAAACAAGAAAAATGATTATAATGTTAAGTATTTCCTGAGTTTATTTTGATGGATGACAGAATAAGTACTGTATCTTTCACTCATTAAAATACAGATTGGTGTAATTTAATAAATGAACTTAATACACAGATGTTCCAGGCTGTTTTAGCAGGGTGTATATTAATCAACTTCTTTATATATGATCCTCTTTTATATTTTTTAAAGAAACTTGCAGGAGCCAAGAATTTATTAGATTTGCATGCTGTGGGCCGAATATCAGATGTCAAGTACACACAGGAGTGCATTACGATGAAATGGAGCCAGCGTCTGCAGAGCGGCCAGGCCCCGAGAGGGCTGTCCCTGGGCTGGCACCTCGCTCTCAGGGCCAACTCAGAGCCCCAGTCCCGTGCAGGTTTAGGACCCTGCTGAGCTTGCTGCTGCCATTGTTGAGACACTCAGAGGTGCCTCTGAAGCCTGGGTGGGAGCTGGTGGCCTTGGGTACTCCGAGGCCCTGACCGGGCAGTGGCTCTGCCCCGAAGAGGGGGCGTCTCCAGGACACATCACATGCTCCTGGGCTTCCCTCAGAGCCTCTTAGCCCAGTTACACATTCCCTTCGCTTCCCTCCACTCCTCTCTAGCATATTGGAGGCTGATGCTTTGTTCTGTCCGAACTTGTTTCATGCGAAGGCCTTGCTAACAAGACCACAAACCCCTAAAGGTAGGAACTGTACCTTTTCTGACCCCCACAAATCCTGATTTGTGGCTTTGGTTGGTCAGTGCTGAGCCATGCGTGGGAGAGACAGGCCCAGCCTGGTCCCAGGCTCGTCTCTGGAAGCGGGAACAAGGCTTGGATGAGCTGTCCTGGGGGTGCAGGGTGGCAGGGCTCGGCAGTGTGAGGGCCTGATACTAACTCATGCCCCGGCTGTGGACGAGCCCTGTGGAGGAGGAAGGGTGTGAGCAGAGAGTTCCCTTCAGACACTCTTCTTTCTCCTGCAAATCCTGGTGAAAAGCAGTACATGGGCTGGGGAAAATCACCCCATGCTGGCAGTGGGGGTGGGAGGGTGGAGGAGGTGGCTTGGGCCAGGAGCACATTTTTGTAAGCCTCTCTGTCCACACAGAACACGTTATTTGCCTCTCAGAGCACCTTGCCTACTCCTCGTGGTTCCAGAAATGTGGTTACATCCTGAATGCTGTGGACCAGGATGTCCACAGGCTCGTCTTTTCCTGCTGCCCAGCTAGAGAGTTTGCAAGGCAACTTGAGTGGCAGTTGTGGGTCCAGATGCTGCCCAGAACAAGGCACTGGTGCCCCTCAGTGGCCCCCAAGGATGGGTGCTCTCTGGTTGCAGTTTGAGCTGGCCCATCGCCCTGCAGCCCCTCTGCATCCCTTGCTGGCTCATCAATCACACAGGCAGGTCCTGCAGGTGGGTAGTGGCTCTGCTGTCACATGCCTGTTTGCAATAAGCTCTGGCCGTAATCATTAATCATTCACTGAGGCTGTGGTTAGTGGCCCTCAGTCAAGAGGATGGTTTCACATTTTCCGGACTAAGTGGCTCTCTCGAAAGCATCCTCCCTGCTCTTTCATGTCCAGTCATTTGATGTTCTGTGTATGCCGAGCTGGCCACCAAAGCCAAGCTTTGTTCTGGAGGGCTGCTCTGAATGCTGCCTTTGGGCAGGCGCAGGAGCATTCCGGATCCAGCCTCAGGCCTGCACGGGAGACAGAGGGCTGGGGGTGTGAGCCCCTCCCCAGGACATCCTGAGTGTGCCGTGCTCTGCCACACCATGCAGATCTGAGAGGACCAAAGAGTGGCTCTGCCCTTCGTATCCTGTTTACGAACAGTGCTCATGCAAAACAGGTGCCAGCGAGGCTATTTATCTGGGTGAAAAGGACTGAAGGAGCCTTCTGTCTGTGGGTTGTTCATGAAACTAGAGGCTTGGCTTTGGTGATGGAGGAGACAACCAGGGATCGTAGCAACAGGGGCCACAGGTGAGGGCAGCTCTGGGTGTGCAGGGTGCTGATCATAGCTAGAATGTACTCTGCTCATCCCTCCAGATCCCGCTCAGATGCCAGCTCCCTTGCAGCCTTCTCAGGCTGCTGGAGGCTGCATGAATGACTCTTCCCTCTGGACCCCCCCACTGGAGAGTTTTTGATGACTGTGTTCACTACCTCTCTGGGGCTTGTTTTCTTGCAGGGTTGGGAGGAAGACCTGAGACTTGCTTCTGCTATTCACTGTGACCCCTTCAGCGTCCCCTCTGTAAGAAGGGAAAACACTGCAAAGTTTTGAGTGAGAATACATAGAATAAGTGAAATGATGCATGTAACATACCTGTTACAAAGACTGGCATGGAGTAGATGCTCAGGCAAGGTTGGGCTCTGTTCTGCCTACCACATTCTGCCTACCTCATTGTCTGCTGTGTACAGGTGAGTCTGCAGCCACGAAAGCAGGAGGTGGAATCCTTGCTTCTGGTCCTCTGTCTAGCACAGTGACTGGCCTGGAGCATGGGCTCCTACCCCTGGGACTGCCTTCCAACCTGCCTACCAACACCTCGCCAAGGAGAAGGGGCAGATCAGGGCAGGGCGAGTGGGGGATACGGGAGTCAGGTTTGCTTGTTTGTTTTCCTTTTGAAGGCTCTGATGAAGCCAGAAACTTCCTGAAGTCAGGCAATTCTCCTATCCCCTGAGAAGGATTTGAGTATAATATCCTCTTGCTGGAAGGAAAATTAGAGATAATTAGTCTAGTGCTTTCAAATTTGTAAGTAACTGGAACTGTTTTTCAAATGAAATTTTATATGGAACCTTAAACAACAAAAGCAGACTAACCATTACTTTATGAAAATATGCTTACTTATTGGCTAATACTAAATTAATAAAATCAGGTGAACAAATATATTTATTTTATACATTAAAGTTTATAACAAATCCATAAAATGAATCATCTTGATAAATGCATTTTTTATTATCTGAAGCTTTTTAATGTGTTTGCTTTATAATCACAAACTTATAACAAAAATGTACAGTGAGACTGTTTTGGCCAATACAAAAATTTAGAAGAGTTGGCTTAATGTGATCCTTACCTTATTTCAGCTTCAGAATCCAATCCACTTGTGTATTTCATTTTATTTTGACCATCTGGAGAAAATTCTAATTGTTATGGTTTGAATGTGTTCCTCAAGTTTTCCGTGTTGGGCCCTCCCCCAATTTATGTTAATGGTATTTGGGGGCAGGACCTTTTGAGGCTAATTAGGGTCAGATGATGCCATAGGGTGGAGCCCTGGGAATGGCACTCGTGGCTTTATAAGGGAGAGAGGACTCAGCCAGTGCTCTCGCCATGCCTTTCCATGTCATGTCCTGGGCCACGTTCTGATGCAGCACGAAGCCAAGAAATGCTGGTGCCTTAGACTCCCTGCCTCCAAAACCACCCAAAAAAACCCACACCTCCAAAGTAAGCGCTCATTCCTCATACGTTACCTACTCTCAGATATTTTGTTAGAGCAACGGAAAACAGACTAAGACTCATTCACAGGGCTGAGCAGGTGCAAATGTTTAGTGCTTTGAGACAGCTCATCCTTTGATCTCTGCGGGTTCCAATGAGTCCCACAGATGGCAAGAGGGCTATGCACTGAGGCTTCCATACAGGTGGGCAGACCTTCCTTATTGTCGGCTTTCCCAGTGTTAGGCATGGCCCTCCTATCCACCGGACTTTTCCATCACAGTCACATCTATGGCTTCAAATATTTTCTAAATAGAGACTTTTAAAAATAAAACGTACCTGAAATCCATAAAGCAACTTCTTGAGTATCCGTGGTGTGTAGCATATGATGTGAACTGCTGATTGGGTCCAGCATCGTAGGTCACAAGTGAGTCAGCCGAGGCCTGGAATGTGACAAGGACGCGTCAAGCCACACAGAGAGTTGGTGGGGTGGGGCGAGAACATAGGCTTCCTGTATCCTACTCTACGCCTCTCAACTACATTTCTTCTTTCTCTTTCCTAATTTGTATTAGTAAAGAAGTGGGTTTTCTTTTTCATGTCAGACTTCCCAACTCTATAGTTCAGTTGGCATTCCTGGCCTCCTTACATTCCAGGTGAGCGGGAACCAGATGCTTTCTGGAATCACTGGTACAACAAGGAAATTTCCATCAAGATCTCCCCACCTCACCGAGAGGATTCTTCCCTGGTGATAGAAAATTGAAAGAGATTTAGCCAGCAGGGCCTACACAGTAATGCTGGCTTTGTGCTTGTTCCTCTGTCAGAAGAGCAGAAAGTGAAGCCGGTAATTTGTGTTAACTAAGCACTTTCATTATAGGAACTCCAGGGAAAGGGTGGGGATCAGAACATTTTTTCATACAGCTGTCCCGAATCCTGAGGATGATTTGTGTTGTTAGGGAGAAATACTAATAATGCGGAGCGTATGGAAAAGTTTAAGGCAGAGTCAGGGCCCTCTTCCAAGTGCTCAGGCTGCATATCCAGTGCTGTGCAGTTTCCCTTCTCAGTCCCCTGCTTTTCCTGGCTGGGCCCATGCACACCATGTCCCTTGAAGGCTGCAGAAGTGACCTCCACGGATCCTTGGCTCCAGTTTGGCCACTCTCAAGGGGGCCATGGCCTGGGAAAGAATGCCACAGAAGACACCACATGCCCACCCAAGAGGGCAAGGCGAGACCACCCCTCAGCATTTGGTTGCCCAGACACGGCTGCTAGAGGCTTTGACTCACACTCTGGACTGCGAGCTCTGCCTGGCAGGGTGGCACTCACTTCCAGACGACATTTCCAGGGTGACCCTTCCTGTCTCAGGGCACCCTGTGTGGGGCTGTTCTTCCCTGCAGGGGGAGCAGCCTATGGTTCCCATCAGGCCTGCCCAGCCTCCGACATTCTTCCTCCAAGCCCTGCAGCCCCTTTGCAGGGAGCCAGAGGGGAACGGGGTCCCACTGCTGATATCCTGGGAGAAGGAGCCAGAGGTCTGACAGGCATGTGGGGATTTGTGCCCTGCGTTATCTCGTCCTTGAAAGAAGACCTTTCTCCAAGAAATCCTGAGGGCCTGGGTGCCTGGGACTGCAGGATGGAACTCTAAAAATGAGAAGAGAGGGAACATCAAAGGTGAGTCTGAGGGGCTTAGGTGGACTGGGCCACCTGGACTATCGCAACCCTAGGAGAAGGCAGGTGAAGAAAGAGCTCAAGTCCACAGGCATTCTGGGTGGAGGCGGTCTCCTGCCCCTAGGCACCAGGGAAGCCCTCTGACAACCCTTAACTACTAAAGCGGCTGGGTGATTCTCCAACTTCCAACAGAGATCCTCTCTTCACAAAAGGCCCAGCTTTCTTTTAGTGTTTGTGCCGCCCAAGCGAGCACAAGGCCCAGCTTTCTTAAAGAGACAACGGATTCACATACACAGAGAACGATTCAGCCAGGCACGGCCCAGAATGCTTCTATTCTGTGAAGCAACTTTGTAATTGGGCCTCAAAGGCGACCAAACAAAAATAAAGAGATCGTATTTTCCCCGTTAGAGAGTGAGATGTTCCTGGTGTGTAAATGGCCCTTGCTAGTTCTGAATGATGCCACATTGTTTCTGGATGCCAGGACCTGCAGAGAAGAAGGGAGAGGAATGGGAATTTGCACTTCTTCAGCTCTGTGTGCCACATGTAGCCTTGAGTTTAGCTGGTCCATTACGGCTAGAGCCACACGGCCAAGTGATGTGCTGTAACCAAGCTTAAAGAAGAACTCCCCCCTCTGGGACCAACACAGGCATCCTTACAGCTGCTCCTGACCACAGCTGTAGAAGACCAGCCCCCGCTCCCCATTTCCTTGGCTAATTGGGAACATCTTCTCTATATGGCCACATCTCTCAGGCATTTGGGCAGGAGGGAAAAGCTCAATGCCACTCCCTTTATTGAGTGCAGAATCTTTTTCTGAGGAGTTTGCACATGAAGAGTAAAAGGCAAGCCTGACGAAACAAACAGGGGTCAAGATGCTAGCTGAGTATTTTGTAAAAAAAAATTTCTTTTATTTTTGGAGCCTTAGTTGACCTTTATGTGTGAGGGGGTGGAAATATCCCCAGGAAATCTCAAAAACCTCGGAGGAAGCTGCTGACAAACTTCCAGAGAGCTAGGGTTTTATTTGTGTTTTTCAGGCAGAGAACAACAGATGGGCTTTGACATGTTTCAGACAGATGAGCGCAATGGTAAAAAGGCTGGCTTCTTACTTTTATAGGAATGCTTTCTCTCAGGCGGCACTGCCAGCGCAGGTGGCGGTGCTTCAGGACACAGTGGCAGAGTCCTGGCTGGGGCATTTGAAACCTTTACGAAGAGCAGCCAGCTGGAGGCAGAAGCCCTGCTTGCTGGGTGAGCCACCCAGGGTCCACCCAGTTGTCTCGCTGGCAAGTCAAGGTCACAACGAAACCCACCTACAACCCCAGGGGAAGGCTGGATGGGTGCTGGGCAGTGGGAGACTCCTTTGAAGCAAACAGAAGCCCCTGATGCTCCAGCAGCAGGGAGCAGGAGGGCAGGGTGCATGGTGAGGAAGTGCAGGGCAGGCAGGAGGAGTGAGCAGGGAGGGTGTGGGAGCTTGGGCTAGCTCCAGAGGGGCACTTGTGCTGTCTGTGCAGACACAGCCTTCGCTTGGAACCTCGGGCTCTCATGCCACCCTCGCCTCCACCACAGGGACTCTTGGTCCAACGGGAATGAAAAGAAGCTGCTGAAGCACCTTCTGGCACTAATCTCCTCAGGGCTCCCCGAGCACGTGACTAGAGGCAACCCGGGGAAGACCCGGCAGTCAGGGGAGGCTGCCCCATTCCCGGAGTTTCCGGGCCCTGTTCCTCCTGTGGCGTGGGCAGAGGATGCTGGAACATCCGCAGTGATAGCAGCAGGCTTCACCACCCAGGGAGCAAGCGGCAGGAGGCAGGAAAGCCGGGTACAGTTTGAAGGGGACCAACATCCTGAGAGCGGATGAGGCCTGTGTAGTCTGGGCCTATGGTCCTGGCGCACTGGTCCTCGGTGTTTCCTTGCCCTGGCCATGCCTCGAGATCATGAACATAGCGTCATGGACTGCCAAAGCAGAGGCTGTGGAGTTCCTGACACCCAGGTTTGGGCCGACGTCAGGGATGCTCACAGTTTTGAGATCTCTAAATTGCAGCGCTGGACGTCTGGCTGACAGAGGTGTTTAGCAACAACCAGTTCCTTCCTTTCTCTTCCCTCCACTCCAGGAAGATTTCCAGACTCTGGTCCGGTTGACTCCCCAACAGAGGTCACACCCGGAGCTCTCCGAGGTGCTGACGGCCCAGCCACTCCTCCAGAGGGCATGCAACACTGTGAATGTGCCTTGAAGCACACCAGGTCTCCTGGGGAACTTTCTTTGCTTCCATTCTTATGAGTAGGAGGACTCTGTGAGACTTGAGTGGAAGAAGTTGCTGCTGAGGCTGTCCAGGTCACCAGGGGAAGAGTTAGAAAAGGCTGAGCAGACTGATAGAGTAAGGAGGACGTGTCCCAACAATGACTGCAAGAACACAGCTTGGGAAGAGCCTTGGCAATAGCTACCAATGGTCAGCTATGTGTGCACCAGCATATTCCCATCACCTTGGCAAATCAGGAAAATGCTGCTTTTAGCACGAATCTAACCAGTAGGGTGTGGCTACTCGGGACATCTCCTCTATAGAAAGTGGAAGTGAACAGTGAAGGCACTTGGGGCTGAGTTTAAACTACTTAACACAGCCAGAGATGAGTACTGAGTTTGCTTAGTGATTCTATCTCTGGGAAAGCCTAAGAGGCAGCACCCTCCGGACTTGGGATCCCGGGGTTGGAGGTGGGAGGGAAGAGGAGTCCTGGAAGTTGGCTGGATGGTAACGCCATTCACCAGGATGAGGACCAGGCTTGGGGGGCAAATGACAAATTTAGTTTATGTGTGTTGAGGGTGAGGTTCCCTGGAACTTTCAGGTAGGTTTTCTAGTAGGAGTTGAGTACACATTGCTGGAGCTGAGCAGAGAGGTCTGGGCTTGCAGAGATTTGGGACTCACCGGGGAAGAGCACAGTTTAAGAGATGGGCATGGAGTTGATCATGGGAAGTGTGTTGAGCCAGAGGACAGGTGGGCAGCAGATGGGGCATGTCTGCTTCCTGGCTATGCTGAGGCAGAGATGCCACGGTGAACCAGAAGCCTCCAGTCTCACCAGCGGCTCGCTTACAGAGCCCTAACCCCATGCCCTTTCGGGGACGGAGACATTTTCCTCACCTTCCTCTGGCCTCAGGGACCTTTTTTTCCAACATGCCACACTTGCTCCTCAAAACCTTTACTTTTGCTATGTCTCCTACCAGGAAACCCCTCCTGCATCTGCATGGCTGACTCCTCACTCATGTATCAAGTATAACCACCTCAGAGGGTCTTCACTATTAAACTTATTTATACAGTAGTCATTCTTATGAGTCACTCCATCAGGCAACCCTGTTTTATTTTCTCTGCAGCACTTGTTATCACTGAAAATTGTATTAATTTTCCTCAGCCCAAGTATAAGCCCCTTAAGGGTAGGGAGCTCACCTATCTTATTTACTGCCATATTTTCACTTCCTTGAGCAGTGCCTGGCACACAACAGATATTCAATAAATATTGTTGAATAAAAGAAAGAATAGTACTATAAAGAGCATAACAGCTAGAAAAAATGAGATTTAGTTTGATAAACATTTATTTTCATTTATTAACATTATTAACAATTATTATTAATAAGCATTTATCGTGTACCAGGAGTTGAGTACATGACAGAGGTATCAATAACTAAATATCTGGGTCGCTAGAATCTGGGAACTTATAATCCAGAGGGAGAGAAAGACATCAACATATACTTTTAGAAATGAAAGGGAGAGTCAGAGTTAGCCAGGTGGGCAGACACAAACGGAGAACGTAGAAGAAGCAAGACAGTGTAGTCCTAGAGGGGCCAGGATGCAGAAGAATCACGAGCACTGGTATGTACTGAGGAGACAGAGGAAGGCTATTTTCTTGGAGATTGAATGGAGGAAGAGGACACTTGGTGTAAGTACAGAGAAGTTTGGTTCAGCTGTAGATAGAAGAGGATGCTGTTGGCATGGATCTCCCCTGGTAGCTGGGATTCTGGAGTAGGAATATAACTTCAGAATGCATTTGTCCAAGAATGCCAGGAATTCAGATTTTGGTTCACTAGGACAAGGAGCAACCATGCTATGAGCTGTCAAAGATGGAAAGGGTCGCCTTGGACACAGCGAGCTCCACATCCCTTCCTGCCTGAGCAGGGCTGCTGCTGAAGGCCTTTGGCTTCACTCTGGGCAGTGTAGGTTACTGGCTTTAGGCCCTTCCTAAAGTTTATGGTCCTTTGTTTTCTAATAGGGAGTGCTTAGCACAGGGAAATTGTCCCCAAGAGGTGTGTCTATCGGGTCTCTCCAGAGAAAAAGAACCAAGGAAAAGAACCTATCTACATATTGGTACCTTATGCACCCCCCACTGATCTGGAGTTTTGCTTATTCTAGCAAATGAGCACACATGGTTGTCTAAAATTGGCAGTGTCAGCCAACAGGCTGGAGGTCCAGGGAAGAGCTGATGCTGTAGCTAGAGCCTGAAGACAATCTGGAGGCAGAACTTCCTCTTCCTTAGGGGAAGTCAATATTTTTTCTCTGAAGTCTTTTGATTGGGTAAATTCCCCTCCCACATCATGGAGGATAATCTTACTCAAAGTCCACAGATTTAAATGTTAATCACGTCTAGAAATCCCTTCAGAGCTACATCTAGAGTAGTGTGTGACCAAACACCTGGATACCGTGGCCTAGCAAAGTTGACCTATAAAAGTAACCATCACGAGGGGCAGCCTGCTGCTGGGAGCAGGGTGAGAGGGTGCTAAGGACCGTCCTTCAGCGCT